TTGAGACAGAGTCTCACTCTGTCCCCCAGTCTGGAGTACAGTGATGCGATCTTGGCTCACTGCAACCTCCACCTCCTGGGTTCAAGTGATTCTCCTGCCTCAGCCTCCCAAGTAACTGGGATTATAGGCGTGTGCCACCATGCCCAACTAATTTTTGTATTTTTAGTAGAGATGGGGTTTCACCATGTTGGCCAGGCTGGTCTTGAACTCCTGACCTCATGATTCACCCTCCTTAGCCTCCTAAAGTGCTGGGATTACAGGCGTGAGCCACTGCACCCAGCCAACATCTCACTTTTAATATTTCTTCTACCACAGCCTTTCAGGCCTTATTTAAAAACCCCAGATAGTCTTCAGCAGATATTGGTGTGTTTGTATCAAAAGTTACTTGTATTAAGGGGTGAGCATTGTTTAAATCCCTAGGAAAATGTCTTCCAAAAAGAAATACTTGAAATAATTCAGGGCTCCATGTGCTGAGTATTTAAGTGTCAATTTATTTTATCTGACAAATACTTTAACATTATTATAGTAATAATAATCATAGTAATGTGTAAATTTACACATATATGAATGCCTCAGTGGATGTGTATAATAGATCATATGTGCTCAAAATATTTTGTTGGGTGAGACATTCTGCGAAAAACTTTGCCACCTCCTTTCACATTCTTTTTTTTTTTTCTTTTCTGTTAGATAAATATGTTTATCTGTACGTGGCTATTTGTCGAGTAGCTTCCATGGGCAACACTGAGGAGCACAGCAACTCTTCCATTTTAACATCAGCCGTGAAATCAAACAAGATTCCTTCTCAGCAGTTTCATCTCAAAGCCTCCCAAAGCATCGCAGTGGAAACAACTGCTCCGTTGATATAACCCAGGAAGATTAAACCCTGGGTGCCTGCATGGTTCTAATCCAGTACAACCACAGCCATGTCAATTCCCACTTTTACTGAGAGGGAGATCTAAGTGGCAGCATTTCCTTAACTATTAATGGTTTAAGAAAAGCATTTTACAGTGCGTTGTTTCCAGAAACAGCTATGCCCCCGGAAGGAAAGTACTTCTTCACCACACAGAATAGTGGTCAAAAGCAATTACTTCAACACTGGGACACTCTGTTATTATAAAGCCAGTAAGAGAGGCAAGTATAATAGCACCTGCTTTCCTCACACGAAGGCAGCAGCCAGGTTTCTATATGTCTTCTGCTCTCCAAGGTAAAGATGTGCATTTGACATTTCCATACCCACTGTATGCAGCAGATATCATCCCGAGAAACTGTCAGAGTCTTTTTCTTGCAACCAAAACCAGCTTTCTGTTCCTTGAATATTAAAACCCCAAGAAGTTGCCTGGCTTATTTATACCGCTATCCCTCTCACAGCAGACAGAGACACAGCACACAGCAACACAGTCACAAATACTAAGATAAAAGGGTTATGATTTGTAGACAAAGACTATGTTTTTAAATGAATGATATTCATTGTAAAAATTATTTTGTTTAAAAAAGTACTTGTAAATATAAATAATAAATAAATAAAACTAGCATAAATTTGAATCTAAAGGACATATATAGATTGAAGGGTGCAACCAATAGTCGTAGAATGCACATTCTTTTCAAACACGTAAGACAGATCAGTAAAAATCGCAGCCATCTCTGATCACAAAGCAAATGCCAACACATTTCAACAACTAGAAGCTATTGAAATGTCCATCCAGAATGATAAAATTATGTATAATTATGTATATTATTTCTCTTTCTTTCTTTCTTTCTTTTTCAGACACAAGGTCTTGCTCTGTCATCAAGGCTGGAGTGCATTGGCACCATCATAGCTCCCTGCAACCTCAAACTCCTGGGCTCAAGTGATCCTCCCACCTCAGCCTCTGAGTAGTTGGGACCACAAATACAAAACCATCATGACTGGTTAATTTTTAAATTTTCTGTAGAGATGGGGTCTCACTATGTTGCCCAGGCTGGTCTTGAGCCCTGGACCACAAGTGATCCTCCCATCCTTGGCCTCCCAAAGTGTTGGCATTACAGGCATGAGCCACTGCACCTGGGAGGTATATTATTTCAATCAAATGGTTATGTAAACAAATGACAACTACAGTGAATATTTCACAGTTCTCATAAAGACTAGAGATGTCAGACATAATTACATACTTTATTATTTAATTTTGATGAGGTTTAGTAATGTCAGACAAACTATAGTGTTCAGAGATGAACATTTAAAAATAAAACTCAGGCTGGGCATGGTGGCTCATGCCTGTAATCCCAGCAGTTTGGGAGGCCAAGGCAGGAGGATCAATTGAGATCAGAAGTTTGAGACCAGCCTGCCCAGCATGGTGAAACCCCATCTCCACTAAAGATACCAAAATTAGCCAGCTGTGGTGGAGGGTGCCTGTTGTCCCAGCTACTCGGGAGGCTAATGTTCTGTGCAGGAAACACCAGGAAATAAGAAAAGACACACACACACACACACACACACACACACACACACACACACACTACCTTTAAGGGTAAACAAGCTTTATCCCTTGTAAATGGCAATGCAAATATAATAAGCAAATGATATAAGAAAATCAATATAATAAGCAGACTGATATAATACGTATATTGCAACGGGAAGAGGAGAAGGGAAAAGATATTTACACTCGCCAGACTATGGAGGATTCACCACCAGACTGGGAAGCAGCAGCCTGGGCTCCGGTGTCGGCCACTCATCCTCGCACAGCCGAGAGGTCACATGAAGCTTCTGCGCGGTCTGGGACAGTAGCTCTTTTTGTAAGGAGTTGTTTGACCTGAGGTCCAGTCCCGAGGGTCCTTCATGACTGGGCTCAAGGAACACAAAAAGGTCAACTTGTTTTTGCCGATTGTCTACTGTTCTTCAATAACTAATGTATAGATATAGATTGACATAGAGATTTATCCGAAGCAGTGCTGGATGAATGCCTCAAAGGGCTCACACAACCTGGTGGTAACCATTGTTGGTGTCCACTCCAATTTAGTTCAAATTTAGTATTAAGCTTTTCCTCCACAAGGCTGAGACAGGAGAATCGCTTGAACCCAGGAGGAGGTTGCAGTGAGCCGAGATTGTGCCACTGCCTCCAGCCTGGGTGACACAGAGCGAGACTCAGTCTCAAAATAATAATAATGATAATAATAATAAAATAAATAAAACTCAAAGTATTTTTATAATGTTATAAAAGCCACAGTGTTAGACTCTGTGATGAGAGGAGATAGGATGGAGGAAGCCTCTGGAAGAAATGTTCTGTTCTGTGACTTGGTTTAGTCACAGGAGTGCTTGCTTCCTGATCAATTGAAACTGTAAGACTCATGCTGAGTTTGACATTCAGTCTTCTCCACAAAATAAGTTCTTTTAGGACCAGATCACCTCTTTGGCCCAGTTATTTGTACTCAAATCCTTGAATTTGATCATCTTCAAGTCCAATTTCTCATTTTTTGAAGGGATTCAAATTATACCAAAGTAAGACATTTGAGAATCAACAAATGCAGAGATGAGCTTTATCTGAATTACCCCACATCCCCACCCCATTATCAGACTATTAACTTTACTAATAAGGCCCTATCTTCAGCTATTGATTAGCCGCTTTCTTTGTGCCCTTCTGAGAATGGATGTTAACAAACAAAATGAATACACTTTGTCTTTTCTCTTGTTAATCTAGTTTTTGTCATTTATTTTTCAAGTCAGGGTTTCACTCTGTCACCCAGACTGTGTGCAGTGGTGAGATTTCGGCTCACTGCAACCTTCACCACGTGGGCCCAAGTGATCCTCTCACCTCAGCCTCCTGAGTAGCTGGGACTACAGGTGCATGCCACCATGCTTGGCTAGTTTTTGGATTTTTTTTTTTTTCAGAGATGACGATTCACAATGTTATCCAGACTGCTCTCCAACTCCCGGCTGAAGCAATCCACTCATCCCCACCTCCACAGTGCTAGGATTACAGGTGTGAGCACAGTGTCAGTCTAGTTTTTTTTGTCATTTTACTTTGCAAGCCCCCAAACAAGTCTAGTCTGATTTAAGAGACTAGAGGAAAAATTCTTTCTTTCTGACAAATTCTAGGTCTATATGCTATTCCATTTAGAAAATGTATTGAGAATTACAATCTGAAACATGTTAACATTCATCAGCATTGAAGAGGGATCGCTGCTGAACTGTTTCAACAGCTTAGGATAAATCACGATATGACATTAATTGTTTGCAAAACCAGCTTTTACCTACCTGAAAGATCAATCAGCAGTAGTTATTATATTTCCATGTTTTAGCTGTACAGGCTCATTAACATCAAAATCAATGAACTATGTTGGATTTGTGGAGGGGAAATGAAATAATACGGCCTACAGGTAGAAAGAAGGGGGCAGCTTGTAAGTAATCAATAGGTAGGAAGTGAAATGAAAAGCTTTAAAACAGGCTTTCATAGCCCTGCTCTTTCGTCTCTATTTTGCAATGTTGACATGACGCTACAGGAAGCTGGATTCGGATGTCACATTCCACGCCCCTCAATCCAAAAGAATGGAGATTTTGTCTGGTTATTGCCCCTTTTAAACCAATTACATGAAAATTACATGAATTTTTCAAACTAAAAAAAAAAAATTTGACTTTTTTGTTGTTGTTGAGATGAAGTTTCACTTCTGTCATCCAGGCTGGAGTGCAATGACGCTATCTCCCCTCACTGCAAACTCTGCCTCCCGGGTTCAAGTGATTCTACTGCCTCAGCCTCCTGAGTAGCTAAGATTACAGGCACCCACCACCATGCCCAGCTAATTTTCTGTGTTTGTATTTTTAGAGACGGGGTTTTGCCATGTTGGCCAGGCTGGTCTTGAACTCCTGATCTCAGGTGATCTGCCCGCCTTAGCTTCCCAAAGTGCTGAGATTACAGGTGTGAGCCACTGTGCCTGGCCTGAAAATAATTATAATAGTAATTGACTAGTATGTTTGAGCAGTAAGTGTAATGGCATAAACGAATAACTTACTGGGCGATGTAAATGATTCTTCATTTTGCCAATGACTTTTGTAAATATTTTATCAGCAACTTTTTTTTTTTTTTTTTTTTTTGAGACGGAGTTTCGCTCTTGTTACCCAGGCTGGAGTGCAATGGCGCGATCTCGGCTCACTGCAACCTCCGCCTCCCGGGTTCAGGCAATTCTCCTGCCTCAGCCTCCTGAGTCGCTGGGATTACAAGCACGTGCCACCATGCCCAGCTAATTTTTTGTATTTTTAGTAGAGATGGGGTTTCACCATGTTGACCAGGATGGTCTCGATCTCTTGACCTTGTGATCCACCCGCCTCGGCCTCCCACAGTGCTGGGATTACAGGCTTGAGCCACCACGCCCGGCCCATCAGCAACTATTTTAAACATTAAAAACGGTGAGTACTTACATTAAAAACCAGAATAAAAATACAAAAATACAAAATTGAATTGCCTTTTATGAAAACAGCTATGCTAAATGACAAAGAGTACTTGACGTCAGTGTGGAGAAAGAGAAATTATTATTAATACTTTCTGCTTTTGTCCTCAAAACAACTGTGAGTTTAAAGTTTAAATTGTGTCTACGAGTGTTGTTTTTTACGCTAGCACATTACTGTGCCTTAGTATCTTCATTTACAAAAAACAGGATTAATTAGCACTTCAAAGTATTGTTCAAATAAATGAGTTATTCCTGTCCTTCTTGTCCCAGCACGTGGTAATGCCCTTGCAAGGGAGCTTGAGATTGTTGTTTAAACCCACACTGACGGCCTCTAAAGTCTCCTAACTTTCAAGTTACTATTCTGTTAGGTACAAGAAAGTGTTGCCTAGATTAATCTCATTCTACAAAAAGATAACAGTAGTAGTTCCCCAGAAGAGAGAATTCCTAAGACCATACTAAACTCACTGAAGGAGTTTATGGTAAGGTTCCTTGGGTCTTCAGTGTTCCTGTTCCATCCTGTGAGTTTTAAAAGTTTGAGGAAACTGGTGGGGCACATGGCTCACACCTGTAATCCCAGCACTTTGGGAGGCTGAGGTGGGAGGATCACCTGAGGTCAGGAGTTTGAGACCAGCCTGGCCAACATGGTGAAACCCTATGTCTACTAAAAAGACAAAATTAGCCGGGTGTGATGGAGGGTGCCTGTAATCCCAGCTACTCGGGAGGCTGAGGCAGGAGTATCGCTTGAACCCAGGAGGAGGAGGTTGCAGTGAGCCATCGTGCCATTGCACACCAGCCTGGCAACAAGAGCAAAATTCCATCAAAAAAAAAAAAAAAAAAAAGTTTGAGGAAACTGTATACTTCTCCATAAAGATCTTGGGATTAGAAGAATGTCTCCTTCCACCATGTCACCCAACCAAACACTTAGAAATTGGCTTCTAAATTACAAAATCTTGAATAGAAATATACTAAAGGGCCACTGTATAATAACTAAAATGATTACCATCTGAGACCGAAATGTGTTGTTTTTCCAAGAGAAAGGAAGCTAGAGAAAATGAACAGCTTTTTGAAATCCAGGGAGATCATTTGATTTTTAGGTATTAGAACCTGTCAGCAAAAGAGAGGCTGTCTCAATAGAACTGAGAATTTGCTTGGCAGGGGGTCACTATAGATCAGGGCTTCTTAACCTCTGCATGATTGACATTTCCCACCGAACAATGCCTCACTGTTGGGGGCAGTCTTATGCACTGCGCGGCACTTCCCATCCCTGACCTCTGCTCGCTGAAGACAGTGGCCAGCCTCTACCTCCTCCTGACAAAGAAAAAGAATCTCCTGGCCTTGCAAATGTCTCCTGGGGGGTAATATGGCCCTTGGTTAGGAACCAGTTCCATTCACTGATTTCAATCCCAAGTCTTTCCAGCTCACATTACTGTTAGACAGTTACCAGAATGCTGAGCGCTGATCATGTCTTATATGCTGAATACCAAACCTGGCCTCACGCACATACTTAGGAACAAGATGGTCTTTGCCCTTGGGAAACTGAGTCTGCTGGGAGAAACAAACCCAAAATTTATTCCTGATGCTGCATGCTAAGAAAGACAAGTTTTCATTAAAGGGTTCATCTGAGTTGACATTTATTTTATTTCTATTTTTAATTTTAATTTTTTTGAGACAATGTTACTCTGTCGCCTGGGATGTCACTGGGATGCAGTGGTGTGATCTCGGCTCATTGCAACCTCTGCCTCCTGGGTTCAAGAGATTCTTCTGCCTCAGCCTCCCAAGTAGCTGGGATTTTAGGCACATGCCAGCACACCCAGCTAATTTTTGTATATTTAGTAGAGACGGGGTTTCATCCTGTTGGCCAGGCTGATCTTGAACTCAGAATCTCAAACGATCCGCCTGCCTCAGCTTCCCAAAGTACTGGGATTGATTAGAGGCATGAGCCACTGCACCTGGCCTTATTTTTATAACTGGGATCTTGCTTTTTTTTTCCACAGGCTGACCTCAAAATTCCCTGGGCTCAAGGGATCCTACAGCCTCAGCCTCCCCCATAGGGGCTACAGGTGTGCAAATGTGAGGTGGCATTTTGCTGAAACCTGAAGAAAGAATGGAAATAAACCACTCAAGTAGGAGGGTGGGAGAACTTTCCAGTGATGAAATTCAAACAGGGTAAAAGTGCCAAGGTGAATTAGGACTTGGAATGCCTTACATGGGAGTAACAAGGTAGGGGATGGGGTTGTAAGGATGGGCCAAGGCCAGGATGGGCTTCAGAACCCAGACCACACGGGAAGGGACCCCTTCTCAGGCCTCTGGAGGGGTACATGTTAAGAGGCTGACAGCAGCACTGTTAGCAACTGTGCCTGTTATACAGGGACAGGTTTATTACCACCAGCAAGCCAGAAGGCAAGAGAAGAGGAAACCTTCTCCAAACACAAACAGGGGGACTTGTCCTCCCATTGTTAAATTTCCACAAGGAGCTGAGAACCATTTAAGGCCTCCTCTCTTCATTCCCATAGGGGACCTGAGTACTCAGTGGTGCCCAGCGAGGAGAGATTCAGGTAAACAGATAGTCCTCTGAAGCTGCCCATAGCCAATTAGATTTAAAGTTATTTACCTCTTTTTCCATTGCAAGATTTTTTTTCTTTCGTTTTTTGGCCAAATCAATTTGAAAATTTTGGCTTGATTTAAACAATCATACACAGAGGGTGGGAGAAAAGAAATAAAACTTGGTAACTATAAGCATTATTTAAAAATTCTATTTGGTCCTAAACACTCTCTTGACTCTGGTGATGGTTTCAAGAGTATTCATTTTATTAAATTTTACACTCTGAACACATATAAAGTTTTCTGCATTCCAATTAGATCTTATTAAAATTGTGCATAAACAAAACGAACCAAACAAACAAATGAAACAACCACCCCATGCATGCCATTGGGCAGGCTGTGGGAAATGCAGCATGGTCAACTCACAGCCATTCGTCTATTAAGTCAGAGGATGTGTACATGTAAAATTGTTTTGTATATTCTTAAATTGTCATCTTCTATGTTTGAGCTAATTTTTCTCTTTCACCAATAAACAACTACAGTATTATTTTTTTCCATTAAAAGACTCAAGTGTCTGGGAAGTTACCTCCATCCAGGCAAATTTTGTAAAGCACCTATAGACCCACAAATTTGATCTGCCTTGAATTCTGTTAGTGCTTCCTTGTTCTGTGTGTCTCACCTCTGAAGAGGCTGGGATGTAGCTCTGGACGATTGCCCTACAGAGGTACTACGTTGAGGTCCCAGACATCTGTAGGGCAGTCAGCATAGACTCAGTGAACATCTGCAAATTCACACCAGGCCATGTTGCTTCCCAGCTTACTTCATTCAGAGGCTCCAGTTGCATTTATTTATTTATTTATTTATTTACTTACTTATTTATTATCAAAGACAGTCTCGCTCTGTTGCCCAGCCTGGAGTGCAGTAGCACCATCTCGGTTCACTGCAACCTCCGCCTCCCGGGTTCAAGTGATTCTCCTGTCTCAGCCTCCTGAGTAGCTGGGACTACAGGCAGGCACCACGCGCCAGGCTAATTTTTGTATTTTTAGTAGAGACAGAGTTTCCCCATGTTGGCCAGGCTGGTCTTGAACTCCTGACTTCAAGTGATCTGCCCGCCTTGGCCTCCCAAAGTGCTGGGATTACAGGTGTGAGCCACTGTGTCTGGCCAAAAACACAATCCCAGTTGCTTTTAGAATAGCATTCCAACTCCTGTCTGGCCCTCCGAGGGCCTCCTGGCCTCTTCCGATCTCTTGATCCAGTCCCTGTGCTCAGCCCCCTGGGCGTCTTCCTTCCTGGAAGGTGCCAAATTCTTTGTGCCTCAGGGCTGTTGATTCTGCTGTTTCTTACACTGGAATCCTTCCTGGAGGAAGGAGAGGAGGTGAGCTTTGCGACTGAATGAACCACTCCTGGAGTAGGTACTGCGAAGGCTCCGGAAGAGGAGTCAACCTGGATGTGCCCCGACCAGTGAAGATCTGATCCAGCCATGGGGGGCTCTGCATCAGCCCACCTGCCCACATGCACATCAACCACCTGGGCAAAAGGGGACCAGGACAAAGATCTCAACTGTCCAGCTTTAGAGACAGACATTGAAACAAAACAGGGCATCAACATTTATGTAAAGTATGGGCTTATAAGCATACATTTACATCTGCTTTTATTAGAAAGAAGATACAGGAAGATAAACCATACAATGTAAATATGGAGAAGGGAGGGGATGGGGTTGGAAGCCCAGTTTCTCTGAACTGTCTTCTTTGATAGATGTGACTTTTGAACCCTGTGAATATTTACATCAATATGAAACCAATTAAATCAATAAAAATGAAACGAGGAAACCCTAAAAGTAGAAACTAAAACAAAACTGTGTGTCACGCAGCAATACAGCTGCATAGGGAGGAAGAATTTAGGCATTTAAACACACCGATGTAAGGGTACCTCTCTAGATCAACATTCTCTGAGCATAAAATGAACTGAAAACCAAGATTAATCAGTTTCCAGTAATTGTGTTGGTAGTGGTATTGATGTTTTTCTGAACCTGTATGTTATAGTAGGATGAGGCAAATAAGTGATTATTTGAACATCACTAGGAATTGGATTTTTTAGCTTTACACAAAAGGAATATAAAGTCAAAAAGTTGTGTTTTGTGGCCACCGTGCAAAAGCAGAAGGGGTCCACACCCCAAATTTGGTTTGGATATAAGGGCTGATGGTGCCACACATCCACCCAGAGGGTAAGGGAAGGGTTATTACTCACATGATTGAGCTCCATGATGGGACAGACAGGCCTGCCAGGAGGGTATGAAATGGCCGGAGAGAGCAAGGAAGGATCTAGTTTGTGGTTGGGGCTGCAGGCCTGGTGAGAGCTGGCTGCCTGCCCCATGGTTTGAGGAAGAAACTGGAGGTTTCTTATCAGTTTGCCCAGATGTAGGGTGGGGGAGTGAGGAGAGGGAAGGGTGAGGCGTTAAACCACCAGCAATCAAACATCAGACACCAAAAATGGAGCCCGACTCCTTACGGCATTCAGTAAATTCTGTACTGAAAATGTCAGGATGAATTCATGGTGTATTACCTTTCAAAATTTAAAATAAAATAGATTTCCTTATATATCCACTGAACAAACCTTGAATTTATTTTATAGTTATGAGTATCCTTACCTACTAGATTATGACCTTGAAAACCATTTTCCATTAAAAGGAGTCAAGTTTCCTTGTAGAAATGGTGGATTCCAGATTTGGGGCAGGAACTACTGGATGACCCTGGAACATTCTGTCACATCAACAAGCAAGGATGCTCAAAAACCAAACAAAACAAAACAAAAACCTACTGTGATCATGTCTGAAGGACCCAGGAGCCAGTCTGAAGAGACACCCTCTGCTTAATATGGGCAAACTTCGATCTGCAGTAAAAATAATATCTGCTGTAATTTGAAACATATCAAATACATTCAAATTCCTCAAGTTCACAATGATACTTTTCAAAAAGAATGGAAGAAAGAAGGGAGGAAGAGACACTCATTAAACACCTTTGGACCACACAAGGTGATACGGTTAGGATCTGTGTCCCTGCCCAAATCTCATGTCAAATTGTAACCCCCAGTGTTGGAGGTGGTGCCTGGTGGGAGGTGATTGGATCTTGGGGGCAGCTTCTTATGGTTGGAACCATCTCTCTTGGTACTGTCATTGCATGGTGACCTCTCCCCACATCTGGTTGTTTAACAGTGTGGCACCTCGCCCCTCTCTCTTCCACCTACTCTGGCCACGTGAAGTGCCTGGCTGCCCCTTTGCCTTCTGCCATGAGTAGAAGCTTCCTGAGGCCTCCCCAGAAGCAGAAGCGGCCAGGCTTTCTGTATAGCCAGTAGAACCATGAGTCAATTAAAACTTTTTTCTGTATAAATCACCCAGTTTCAGGTATTTCTTTATAACAATGCAAGAATGGACTAATACACAAGGAAACCAGCCATTTTGGCAAAAAAAAAAAAAAACGACAGGATCAAGCTTTCATCTGCCCATGTGTTGGGCCTGGACCCCAGTGTAACCACACAGTTGATCCTGGGGGACTTTCTCTCTAGAGATGTATTGAGGAAATGAAGACAAGGAAAATGGACATAGAATATCAAAACTATGTACACCCTTAATGAAAAAATAAATCTACGCAATTGTATAACTCGAAGGCTGCTCGTAGCACAAAAGGAGACAGAGTGTGGAGTGCACTCTGCGGGAAGTGTCCACCGTGGCCTCTGAATAGTCGAAAAAAATCACCCTGAAGGATCTGCCAGTTTACAGGAACCATGGGGAACAGGAACACTGGGAATCCAAATGTGGTGACTCTACAGGGCAAAGAATGTGATTTCTTCAAAACACTGCAAGGAAACAAAAAAAGAGGGCAAGGGAACCAACTTTTTATTTTATTTTATTCTATTTTATTTTATTTTGAGATGAAGTCTTGCTCTGTCCCCCAGATTAGAGTGCAGTGGCACAATCTCTGCTCCCTGCAACCTCCTCCTCCCAGGTTCAAGCAACTCTCCTGCCTCAACCTCCCAAGTAGCTGGGATTACAGGCACCTGCCACTGTGCCCAGCTAATCTTGCATTTTTAGTAGAGACAGGGTTTTGCCATGTTGGGCAGGCTCATCTTGAACTCTTGACCTCAAGTGATCTGCCCACCTTAGCCTCCCAAAGTGCTGAGATTACAGGCATGAGCCACCATGCCTGGCCAAGAACCAACATATTTTAAAAGCAGATCAAAGGACTTAGACTTCAGACATGATGGAGTAACTGGTTTCAGACTTACTCTCCTCCCACCAACAACCTTAAAACCGGACAACATACTTTAGGCAGATCTTTTCAGGTATTCTGCTACAGCCAGTGCAAGGCAGCTGTAGAAAAAGGAGGCACGTGACCTGAGCTCCTCATCCCCCTCACTCCCAGATTTCAGTTTGGGTGCAGGGAGGTGAGACCACATGGAGAAGAATGGCCTCTCTGCTCCAAGAACACAGAGACTGGAGTTTTTGGCTGTGGAGAAAGGTGGGTTTGTGGGTGAGGCTGTGTTGTGTGGGAGGAAGCTGGACACAGCAGGGGCAGGCAGTGGTTTGCCTGAGGGTTGCTGTAAATCCTTAGCCAAGGGCTGGATTTGTAAAGTCCAAGGAAAGGCTCTGCAAGGCAACTCTGCAGGGAACAGCTGCTGAGAGAAAAATCTGCCCACCTGGATTTTTATGTACAAGGAATATTGTTTGGCTGTGTCTCCACCCAAATCTCATCTTGAATTGTAGCTCCCATAATTCCCACATGTTGTGGGAGGGACCTGATGGGAGATAATTGAATCATGGGGGCAGTTTCCCCCATACTGTACTCGGGGTAGTGATTAAGTCTCACCTGATTAAGGTAATTAAGTACACACCTTAATTAGATGGATAGATACAGTTAAGTATCACAAGATCTAATGGTTTCATAAGGGGAAACCCCTTTCACTGGGTTCTCATTCTCTCTTCTCTGCTGCCATGTAAAAGTGCCTTTTGCCTTCCGCCATGACTATGAAGCCCCTCCAGCCATGTGGAATGGTGAGTCCCTTAAACCTCTTTTTCTTTATAAATTACCCAGACTTGGGTATGTCTTTATCAACAGCGTGAAAACAGACTAATACACCAAAGAACACGCCTTGTTAAAATAAGGCGAAATAAAGGCATTTTCAGAGAAATAAAAACAAAGAGAACTCATTCCCATCACATCAGGGAAATGCCATATAAATCCACAATGAGAAAGTCACATACTCACCTAAATGGCTCAGATAAAACAGATGGCAAGCAGCAAATGGGGAGGAGGTGGGGCGAGTGGAACTCTCATACTTGGCTGGTGAGAACATTCATGGTAAAACTGTGCTGCAAAAACTCTTCAGCAGCTTCTTACAAAGTTGAATAGACATCTTCGCTATGATCTACCATGAGGCATTTGTTGAAGAGAAAACCAAGGCATGTTGCCACAAGAGACTTGGATAAGCAACTTTACTTACTGTATCCAAAACCTGGGGCCAATCCAAATAGCTGTCAACCGGATATTTCCTAACAGGATGAATCACAATGTAAATTGCATTTTACTCAGATGGTGAAATACTACAAAGGAATTAACAAAAATTACATGCACAATATTGGTGTGTGCAACACTGTGGATGAATCTCAAAAACATTACATTGGGTGAAAGAAGTGTGGCAGAGAAAATAATACATTGTTTAATTCTATTTGTGTGAATTTCCAAAACAGGCAAAAATACTCTATGATCATAGAAACCGGATCAGCGGTTTCCTCTGGGCTGGGTTCATGGGGAGAAGGGAGGGAATTTTCAGAGGTGGTAGAAACTTTTATGTTTTGACTGATGTGATCACACAGTTAGTTCACATTGTCAAAATTCTTAGAGCTCTATACTTCAGGTCTGTTCATTTTACTATGCGTACTTTTTTTTTTTTTTTTAATTTTAATTAAAGAAACTTTAAAAATCAACCAGATACAATTTATGGGCCTTATTGGGAACTGAATTGGAAAAAATCAACTGTTAACTACAGTTTTATGAAGCAGTTGGAGAAATGTGAACATTGAAATTTGATGGCATCTAGAAAATATTTGGCGGGGTAATTGGATTATTAGTGTGGCAATGGCATCGTTACATTAAAAAGAGTCCTTACCTGTTAGTCACACACCCTGGAATATTTATTGAGGAATAGAGATGATTTCTCACATTTACTCCAAAATAACTCCACGAGAGTGGGGTACGGTGTGGTTGAAGTGCCCTGGGGGTGGAGGGTTAATAGGTGACACCTAGCTATGAACATCAGTCTCTGAAGTTGGGTGATGGGTACGCGGGATTTGTGTTTTTTTTCTCTCTTCCTTTATTTTCTTTTTCTTTTTTTCTTTTCTTTTTTTTTTT